GCACCATAACTGACTTGAGGCATCATTTTAAGGTATTTCAGCAAAATACGTTAAATTGATATTGACCTTCTCGGGTCAGTTAACCCTAAAATTTGAGGCATGACAGCAGTAACCTGTCGATTGGCTAGTCTGCATTAATTTCAACTAAATGTTTGGCAAAATTTTAAAGTAAATGTAAATGGAATAAAAGTGTACTACTGATTCCATTAAAATGCAGCAATGCCTACACCGTTCATGTAACGTAAGCAATGAAAATGTAACAAAACGACTGGCAAAACCTTGAAACTCCTTTTTGCTAAAAAGACGTGAAATGAGCGAGTGATGATAAACGTTGTATTCTTTGAATCTTTTTCTTTGAATTTGCTAAATTTTTCTCACTTGACTTGATCACACGACGCAAATACTAACACCTCTTTCTTTCACCTCGCTGCCTTACAACCGTCATCCACAAAGAACTTCGAATTTTGGTGGGAGCTTCGTTTCATGTTGAAGACACTTTTCTCTCTCAGTTTGCTTAAATAAGCTTCCCAAATGCTATAAAAAACTGAAACGAAAGTAGAGCACCAACTCTAGGATCGTTTTGCGAGCACGGCATTCCTTAGTTTCTTCTCGAAGCTTTTGTTTTCAATAATCACTAAGGAAGCATACAAGTAATTAATTAAATTCTGAAAGGTTACTGAAAATAATGAAAAAATATACGAAATGTTCTTTTTCATTGAAGAAATCTGCATCTAGTGAAAAAATGACTAGTAGCTCATTGACTGACTAGTTCGATCTTACACCAAGCAAACCAATCCTAACTCTTCTGGGTTCACTAACTGGCTGTCTTCGAGCCGCAAATATAAAGAAGGATTGACTAGACCAGCATTCAACAACATCCATTAAGAAGACAGCGTCCCCTGTTACAGCTAAGACACCGAAGATCTTCACTGACGACAGAACGGAGGAAACGAAGCGAATGGGAAGGGAGCTTGGATTCGCACACTTTGTGGAATTGTGAATTTCACGAACGACTTTGGAGAATCGACTTGAACCGTCGCAACTCTAAGGAAGGCTAAAAAATCTAAAACTTAAACAAATAAAAGTTGCCTAACAAACTTACGTAGTTCACGAATAGAACATAAGATTATTAAATATTTTTTTGTCCTTCATTATTAGGAGATAGAGTTAAAAGGCGTTCCGCGGCAGTCGTGAGCCCAAAGATTCCCATTTTTTGTTTTTTCCTATTTTTTTTAAATTTCTATTTATTTTTTCTATTCCTATATTCCCTCTTAAGTACATGAAAGCTTAAAGTTCTAGCTCGATTAAATGTGCAAGTTTACAATTGAACTTATATAATGAGTAAACGACGAGAAAAGGAGAAACAACAACGGGCTCACAGCTTAAAATAGTGGAAAATAGGCGTGTTGCATTCGTGTTTCATTTCTAAATTCGTAGAGGAGTTTGACTTCGAATGCGTAACAACTGTTCTTCATTTTAGGAAGGCTATTTAGAGAGCAGCAGAGTTACCAGAATATAGCACTCTTCAGTGACGATGGTCAGGTCAGAGTCGAAAATGGTGTATTTTTTAAACTCGGCACTGGCTTCCTCTTTAGTGTGCTACACTAACGGCAATAACTTTATATATCAAATTCTAGTGATCGTGTAAGGTAGATCTTGTTTTCGATGTCGGCGAAAAACCCTTGTAAAAGAATGAACTGTCACCAGTCCTGAGTGTCAAATTTCTTGAATTTTATCTCCTGTTTTTTCACGGTGGATATTTAATGGTACTATTAAAAAAATGAATAAAGTGACGATGACGTCATCAGTTTCATGTCCAGCGGATATGCAGGTGGAAGAAAAAGCACAAATGACCCATGGCAGTAGAATCATCAGCTATTTTATCCATTCATTTTCTAGATGCTGTTAGTATGCTGTTGTTAATCAACTGTAAATCATTTTGAAGTCAATTTTCACGTAGTAGCACTCTATCAACTATTGCGTCAGTCTCAATTCAAAATGGCCTTGAAAGAATTCTGGTCGAATGCTGGTAAACTTCTCTTTGGTCCAGAAAGACAAGCGACTAGATTTACCGTGAAGTGAAGGCACTGCTTGGCCTAGCAAAAACAAAAACAAGAAAAGGAACTATAACCACGCTCGAACGCCAACCGGTATTCAAGTGCGCACAGAAGATGAAAAATCCTCAGGTTGAACACAATTAAGAGCATTGCCATTTCCACAGATGGTTGTTTATATATACATATATTTATGCGTATACATGTACATATATGCATACATATATATGTCATGAACACATATACATAGACTGTAGCGCAGTGCGTAGCTGCGTCCTGCATTACAAATGGAATCAATCCCGCTCCCACGCTCATCACTTTCACTTTCACTATCACTTTTTATCTTTCTTTTTCGATTTATTTTTGTCACTTAAACATCGACAAAAATAAATCGAAAAAGAAAGATAAAAATGGAACAAAAGGTGAAGAGTCGACGGCAAAGAAATAATAATTTCGATGACTACCAGTGATCATACTTCTTCAAACGCATTGAGTTCTACTTGTACAAATCAATGTGTGGTGAAAAATTGTGGTAATGGGAGTACATTGTGATATTCAAAAAAATCTTTTGTACTTTTTTTCCATTTGAAAAATATTTTTTCGTGCACTCAGTAGAATGTACTCAATGGAATTCCAATCACAACGAAAACAGCCAGTTTTTTGCCAGAATCGTTTTCCACATTGACTCGCCTAAACCTTTAGTGGATTACTGTTTCAGGTTTTGTCGCACCACCCTAATCGTTTGGGTTTCACTTCCTTAATCTGGCAATTTTCGGCGTGCTTTCCTTCGACCATGCAGCATGTCAATAATTATCCTCTCAAAGGTACAATACGTGAAACTCTTCCTCGACGATCACGAGGATCATCTTCTAGAAATGGCGGATCAGCAGATATCCGTGACAAGCCGCTCGCCAAAACTGGCCATGCAGAGCCGTTCGAGGTCGGTGCTCACGTGCCAACGACGCTCGTTCTTCTAAGCCCTATAAAGCCGCAGAAAAACGCACAAGTACGTTTGCCTCTCTTCTGACGAACCTGTTCTGATGTAACACCTCGTCTTTTTTTTTGAATTATTCCTGATAACTACAGCACTCAGTTCTCCAACTGACTGAAAGTCCTGGTAGTTTAGAAGACCAGATAGTGTTCAAATATCTTTTCTAGCCTTTTTATCATTCATTTCGTCGGTCATTATCGTAAATGTCTTGCTAATTTTCGGTGTGTCGGGTTTCGGTTCGCTTAAAATAGTTCATTTTTGTTTAATTGGTGGAATTTTGTAAGATCTCAAAGCACTGCGTCAACTCCTCTTCTTTCAATCGTTATCCAGCATGGACTTATTAGCGGATCCTGCCGCAAATCGAAGATCGGTCTTCCTACTGCTTTCACTGAAATGCTGAACACTAGTTGAACATAGCTTCCCCTCCAGATTTTCTTGCAATGGCATTCAAAAGACTTCACAAAACAGCAGTCAGTGGTGGTATTTAGATCGTTTTATGACTAGAATTAACCAAAACGGAATTAGCTCTAGTGATTATTCAGATTCAGGCCACTGATAGTAGCGGATAACAAGCCACTTCCAGCTGCTCACTATTTAATACGAAGTCTTCGAAAATTCAGAAAGTAGAAGAGACCATATAAAGCTTATCATAATAAATATGCGAAAAAGTTTTCCATTATACTAAAAGAATTTTCACTAAAAGTACGGTAGTTAAAGCGGTAGTTTGGCTGCTTCTGACTGATTCAGCGTCGCGGTTCAAAGAAGAGCTAAGGATATCGTTTTGTCGTCACAAATCTGTGATTGATCTTCTTCAAAAAAAGAAATTAAAGCAATCATTTTCGAATGGAAACTTGAGTAAGTGTGCTTTCTTCCTTATCTCGTGTTCCCTTTAGTTTTACTCAGTCATAAGAAATTTATGTTCTGCTTACTATTTTCTGCTTTGTAAGAAGTGGAAAATGTGAAAGATCAAATTAGCTCTGCGAGAAGGTTTATTTGCTTTTCACAAGTGGCCTTCATTTGGAGAGCTTCAATTTCGTTAGTCATAAGTCAGCTCGAGCTTACTTTACCGGCATGTGCATACGTCCGTTTCCAGTTTCAGGAGCGTTCAGTGAGCATCCGTTTCTTGAAAGATACGAAGAGATACTTTCTGCTGTAACACCCTTTATTTCTACTGTTTTTGACGACGAGCAACCAAATATGGTTGAGCGAATTGTACAGTAGCATGGTTTTTTTTCCATATTTTGGCTTCCAGATGTTAATCTTAAAATGCTCAGATTTAAAACCGTAGAATAGTGATGAATTCAGTTGTTTATCTGCGATTTCCCCATCACGAACACCCTTCCAGGCTCTGAAGAAGGCAATACTGCCAAAACGTCAGCTTCTGTTGTATTGTATTACGTTTCTGTATGGAAGTAAATGCGTGCTGTTTAACAACCTCGCGATTGCTGAACAAGAAAACGACGCATTCATATTCCAATGCCGAGGGTAATAGAAAGTCGATCCTGGGAACTATCACGAACACCCTTGAGCCATTATAAGGCGGCAGGCCATTAAGAGTAGGCGGATATTTTTGACGATAATCACAAGGATAAATAGATTTAAAGGTTTTTGTTCAATCTAATATACAATACTAATAGGAAAAGGCGACGGATCAACGTTCGGGGTATCAAGAATGGACCACTGCTTACTTGTTCAAATTGTAAATAATGGAATTCATATCTATAGCCATGTACTACTTCCTCTCCATATGAAGAAGAATCCAATGAAAAACTAGAAAGCGAAGGCAATGATAGTCCATTAGATTGACAGGCCTCATTTTACTGCCACTTTCCGACATAGGAGACGTCAATAATGTCTAATCGATCTATATTTCTCTTATATTCTGTTTTAAATGCTGTTATTGCTAAAGCCATAAGTGTGAATGTGGGCCTCGTTACGAGACTGACTTTTCAGGAATGATCGCGGTGTCGCTGTTGTTCGCCGTGACCGTCCCTCTGAATGCACAGTGCTATTCGAGGGGGTGCGTTGGAGGCGGCGGTGGCCATGGTGCTGCTGCTTATGAAACTGGTGGTTACGTGCAACCAATTCAACAGCTCTTCCCACAACACATCCCTCAGCAGTTACCTCAACCACAACCATCAGGTTACGACTACAAGAGTGTGTTTTCTTTACATAACATGCCCATGATTTTTATCCAAATCAAAAGAACATCCAACATTTTTTCCAACATAACATGTTCTCCGAATCTCCTTTGTCACTTTCATGGGTTTTACATGTGAGATGTTTGCCAAAGAGGGACTGAGCTTGTCCAATTTGAACGCGCAAACTTTAAGCCGTTTTCACCAACACATTCTTTTGTAAAATCCAGGATTTCAAAAAACTGATATTTATTTCATTTATATGGTCCTATAAAGTGATCTACTTAGGCTGATGCGAGGTTGGTATAGGTCTTCGTTGTCGTAATCGTTGCTCTTTGTGCTGTTGATCTATAGCTGACGTTTCCATTTGGAGTCCAACTCGCAACAGCACGGCTCTGAGAAAGGCCAAATCGCTGAAACGTCAGCCATCGATCAACAACACAAACAGCAACGATTACGACAACGAAGACCTATACCAACCTCGCATCAGCTTAAGAAGATCGGTTTATAAGATCATCTAAATAAATATATCAACTATCTATGCCGAGCTTCATAGAAAGTCGGTATTTCGAGATATCTATTTTATTTTGAACTGAACTTCTAAACGACCGAGTTCGATAAACTTTTCATGTTATTCCTTGAAAAAAAGATGGACTTAGTGCCCAAAATTTTTTTTTACCATTGCTAATAGGAATGCTTCTGAACAGATTAGCTTTAAGAACGTGTAGAGGTGTTATTTGTCAGAGCATTCTAGGCTCTTCTTGGCCAACTCATTAATAAAAAACTGCACTTTTTCTTTCTCATGGATTTTTAGTGACCCCCTACGCACGACCACCAATCGAGGTCTTACCGAGTACAACAAGAGAAATTGCAACGGTTTCGCTTCCACCCAAATCGACGGTAAAGTTTTTTCCAGAAGATATTATGAACTTTGAATAAAAAATAACATAATTCAGGAGTATGAAGATTACGGGAAGAGGCCTATCGACTTAAAGCCGAGTTCTGCAGAAGGAACGGCAGCGGTGTACGAGGTTAATAAGGGCAACTTTATATTAGTTTTCAGCGTTCATTCCATGCTATTTGAATCGGAGTTTAAAATCTTGCCTGGTGTTCAAAAAAGCACATTCACTTTTTTCATTCTGAGGATGTTCAGGTTAAAAATTGATAATTTTTAACTTCTTGTACTCATTATTTCACAGTCGATCTACAAGGAATAGAAATGAACTCTCAATATAGTTATTGCTTTTTTTCGTTCTTTTCTCAAACCCACTTATGCATGGTGAAGTTTCACGAACTATGAAATTTCCTACTGTAGCTATTTGACGTTTTACAGACACCTATCAAACCTTCATCGACATACATTCGTGAAATGCCTTACCGTCCATATCCACAGCCTCCAATGCCGTATAGACCACTTTCAGTTCTACCATCACCTGGTAATTATGTACTAAACTACTACGATTACATTTGACAGCTACATAGCACACGAAAAGAAACATGGGTTTTCACTATCGGTTATGTCATGCACTAAGACGCGCTAGATTTCTAGATAGAGCAATCGTGGTAATCACATGGGTAATTTATGGACGAATGAGGTACCCTCTGCAGTGTAGAAAAAAGAACTCCACTGATTGAAAAGTATCTCCTTATTTTAAAATTTTTATGGTTTATTTGTTATCTACAATTTCAGGAGGAATGAGTATGAGAAGTAAGGTTGTAGCCTAGTGTCTTGTCCAAAATTCGATAAGGGCACCAACACTCTCCACTCTCAAGCCTCAAGATCAGATAAATTGATTTTACCAAGAACTGTTGTAGAATGGAAAACATAGCTTATCATATTACTTTTTAAAGTTTTTTCCAAGCCGTCGTTTTGCTAGAGTAGGCCTACCCTTTAACCCATCGCAGCGTGTTAACTCGGGGTCTCTGGATGGGCACTCAGGCGGACCACAGCGACCCATAAATTTCCCGGAGAAGCAGACATTCAGCCATTCATGAACAACAGCAGCGAAATGTGTACAAGCGCCATCTTTCATGGAAGTCAAATCTTCAGTACTCTCCCAAGTACTGATAAACGGCTAGATTTTATCTATCACACGTTGAGGTGCCTTCCAACATTCAAACTATCGCGAAAGATGAAAGAGTTTTCAGACGTTTCCGAAGTTATTCCAGTCATACGATTACATTTATTGATCGTCTGTACATCAGCTTGACCATGAATTTCTTTAATGGTCTCCCATCGTCTCTGCATTTGAGCAATGGATCTCCAAACTCCGCATCGTTGCGTTTGTAGTGCTTTCAAATTCCAAACAAATTAATCGGGCAAAAGAGCAACATGGATTGGGATTTCCTGAATTAGGAAAGACACGTAAAAATTTAGAAAAATATTACAATAAATGTGTAATAAGTACAATAATATTACGGTAAAAAAAATAAATTACACGGAAAGATAGGATTTATAACTGCTTTAAAATAGTGTGTTACTCTTCAATCATCCCGTTGGTGCAATATAATCTCCCAATGCGTACCGTCTTTCACTTTCTATCTCACTTCCATTACATACCTCATAAAATGACGAGCGCTAGAATCTAACAAGATGACGTGGTAATTCTTGCCTTAGCTGGTTAAAGAAGACATGTGGATTCTAAGCTGAAGTTTCATACGCGAGTTTTCTAACCAATTCAGGACCATAACGTGGTAAGCAATCTGATCAGCCTTGATTTTCCCGTTTTCCGAAACGACACAGGCAACGTCCAAACTAATTGTATTCTGGGTTGGCCCTTAACATTTGCACAGAATTTCAGTCTTCAAATGTCACAGTGGGACGCCTTCGTCATCTATGGAATTTATTGGCCCGTTCGGTAGAACGATGGAAGTAAAACGAATACTATTCCAATGTTATGCTTTGCCAATGCTTGGTTCATGTAAGCTGAAAACAAAAGCTCTATAAGCCACTTTCACCGTGGCTGCTTCTGAGCGAATAGAAATTTCGCGCTCGTAAACATGAAATGATCAATTCTTTCTACTTCTGTTCAGCATTTTGAAAGTTTTCTCTAATGCAGTGAGCAAAGGAATTTTCAGGATGTTATGTGGTTCAACCTCAATACTACCGTCCTGCTTCCTATATGCCAAGAGGGTACATGATGCCATACGCTCCAACACCCTCTTACGCCGTAGCTCCTTCACCTCTATCTCGGCCACCACTGCAATGTTCGTCGTCATTAACATCATTACGTTCTAGTTAAGAATCTCATTGTCAATGGATTAACGTATATAAATAACAAAACCACCTGGTTTGACATTGGAGAAAGACATTCACTTTTCCGTTTGCTGTTCCGTAGAGTTCACTCATGGGTCTATAGTATCCCTTGTAGAATTCTTTAAGAAGAAAACAAAAATGGTAAAAGCAATTAGTGCAATGTTATGCCTTTTTTTCAGCGGGATTGATCTGGGGCGCCCAAATCGGCATAGAACCCAGTTAAGCTTAAAAACGCTGACAGGTGATTGCTGCGGCAAAGATCGATAGAAATAACTGAGAGAGAGGCGAAACGAAGGACCCGCATGGTGTGGTAGTGAACGCGTTACTCGCCAGAAAGGACAATAGCGCGTTCGTTTCCCACCATAGACACCTGCGGTCCAGAGTTTTGCAGATATCTCAGCAACGTTGTAATTAGTGCAATGTTTAGAAGCATACTTAATACAGAAAATTGTAACATTTCATATAAGGTGAGCATTAGAGTGACTTACAAGCGACCACGGCATCTGTAGAGAATTTTACAGCCATAAGTCAAGCGCCTCGATACCATATGCCACTCAATGACTGTTGCGGTCGCTGCTCTGCAGTATGTGGACCTCATGGCAGACGGGTAGGCATGTCATTAGGAATAGTAAACATTTTTTAAATCAAGACGATTACATTCTGCATGTAGAAGGTCGCACTGAAATACGAATTTGCCGAAAACTTCCAGATTTTCGCGAAATCAGCAAAAACGGTCCCATCAACAAAATCGAGCGCGACCAATGGAATAAACGAGACATCCTTGAATGATACTCGATGCACAAGCAAAAAATTGAAAGAGATCATGGAAAGGGTGGGAAATCAATATTGTTCTGTTTAGGCAATTTCTTTGAAGAACTATTCTTTGTTAAGTAGTGTACTGGTACATTAACATCATAAAGCCCGAGTTAACATTTTGTAAGCTGAAATGATCTATTCTTTCTTTTAGACCTCCTAACGCAAAGCAAAATATTCTGAAGAGTACCGTTTAATTTTGCTGTGCAGTAATTTTAAGGGCCCGTGTGGCGCAGTGGTTCGATACGCCACTGCGACACACACGTGAAATCGACCCCCGCGGCCATGGCCTACAAAGTCCTCCATCCCTCCGGGGTCGGCAAATTGATACCAGACTTGTCTGGGAGGATAGCAGCACTGGCTCGATATATCGGTGAGCCACCGTGAGTCAAAGGTCAGATATGCATCCAGTCACCTCCAACGACACTTAATGAAATTGAATGCATGTCGCATCCCTCAAGGATTGATCAACGCCGAGAGCTTTATCCTTTTCCTCTATGCAGTAATTTTGAAGGAATGGAGAATTTGGTGAAAGCAGAGCAAAATTGAAAAAACTATCTAAGCAAGGGTTATTTTTTCCGATTTTTTAAAACAACTTTACTAATGGCTACGATTGGTTTGGATCATAATTTCTACAAGTGGTTGGAAAAGAAATGGTGTTCCTACAGATAACGTACCGAACGCCATCGCTAGCAAAACGACTCATACAGCGGATGGCTGAGAAAGATCTCCAAGGTTGGGTGAATTATAAACGTTTGCAAAAATTAGAGCAATCGTATTTTTTAAGGATTTATTTCTGTGTTCTGCTCGAAGGACGACTTCACCTATGTGTCACGTAGTGAGACGTACTGCCAAGTGGAAAGCAACGGCATTTTGTGCTACGCGTTCCAGCATAATTGAAGAAAACCACAGCTGATACTTCTATGCAAAACCAAAACTTCGATCCCAACATAAAAACTTGCCCCTTATTCGTTAGCTACAATTTCAACGCCTAAGTAATTAAATCGAATAAAGCTTTGTTTCCCCACATCTCACGCGGTTGCCTTTACTTTTTACAATAATGCTCTAGGTTTTCACCATTTTTAATGAACTGATTAACAAAGGATATGTATTCGATTTCATAGTTCTGAATGATGCTAGCTAACACGATGCCTTAGCAACTGAGTTTTTCTCTGTAATATAAAGAGCACTTCGTAACAGCATTGATGAATAGTACTTTTACTGGTTATGGACTCAGCAATTCACTTTTTTCTTCTTTTTCTTTTCCCTTTTTTTTCTTTCTGAATAAAAACTGCTTTGAGAGAAACGTCGTTGAGAGAAACTCTTTTTCCAAGAATAAAGGTCATAATCCAAAGCAGACTTTTTAATAGTTAGTGGGTTACAAACCTAAACGTGCTTGAGAACAAACAGTAAAGAAGTAGAACTTTCAGTCACTCAAAGCGCTTGCTAATCATTCATGTTGTGAATGTAGCCAAAAATATTGTTGTTCTTGATAGCATGCTATTTGTCATTTCGCCATTGATCGGCCGCTGGTGTAGTCATGGAATTAATTCAGGAATCGCTGTCGTCACTAAAAGAATCTCACTAAAAAATTAACAAATCTCACTCCATTCCACAAGGAATGACAGCTACTTAAGTGAACCCCTGAGATTGTCCTAGCATGGTTACCTCGAGATTTCAAGGAACTTCTCGACCAAAATTCATCGTGATGTTGTAGAGGTAGCTCGAGGAGGTGGGTTACAATACGTAGAGGAGGAGTGCTACAGCTCGAATGACATGAAAAGTTAGGCTACCAAGCTGTGTATATGTGTAAACATTATTAAATACCGACTGTCTACAAGAAATGCTTCCCTTAGCTGCAGCCCACGTTGCCGAGATCCGAGAACCAACCAGAGATTACATAAATGCGGGAAAATAACATACTAAGAATTCCAGAACTTCTCTTTGAAATTCGATATTAAGATGCGAAATAAAACTTCATGCCTCAAGAGGACTTCAAGGCAGCGTTTATCCTTGCTGAGGAGCTCACGTGCTTTCCAACACACCAAACGAACCTCTTACGTTGCCTTCCGCTAAGCCACTTGTTGCTCAGTCGTGAAATCAGAAATCTCTCCACGGAAAGGATGTGAAGAGCACAAATCTGCATTAAACCCAGTTCGCACCCTACCATGAAAAGCAATGGCGGAAAGTGAAAGTTAAAACTTTGCTTTGACTTCGAAGTAATGAAAACCACTGATTATCTGAAGATCGTGAAAGTCCCGCAACTTGACCCACAAAATTATTTATGCACATCTTCCGTTTTTGGTTGCTGTTATCAATTGCTGCTTAAATATTCGACAGAATAAAATTGTTCAGTCAAGTGCTGCTCACTCGAAGAAATACTTTTATCAAAGTTACTGCCTCTCGTAACCTGTGGTCATAACATCTCGATTACAGTAGCAGGAAAAACGTGGTTAATTGGCATTCCGTGGTAGGACGGACTTTCGTTGGTGACGAATGTCAATAGGTGTCGACAGTTTCACTATCACTTCGTCCAGAGTGATGCCTCTACCTTCCAACATTTCCTTGAAATATTGTCTGTCATGTAACACTCAAGCTAAGTCCTACTCTCTAGCTTATACATCTACATGAAATCTGCACAGGGTTTCTCACTGGTGAACATCTCGCCTGTTATTTGCACTGGCTGTGAATAAGTTCAAATGAACATTGATTTGACTGGTTAGTGATAAACAGAGTGAAACAACCACGAGTAACATTTAAGAACAACACTTTGAATTGCTCTAATTCACGATTTTTCGCCAACAGTGCCTGTTCGGGAATGATTCTTTCTAGTGATGAGTTGTAGGTTATTAACGAGACTACATTTTAGAAATGATAAGGCTCACTACGTTTTGATTTGCATGCAAAGCTGTTTGTAACGATTTTTTGATGCAAACGCTTGAATGAAACAACCCGAATAGGAATGTGGGAGTTCAAAAGAAGATATTTAAGGTGTTGCACTTGCCTACAGAAAATGGCAGTCATTGATGAGGAAGCGATTCTACATTGCCTATTCTCCAGCCGATGATCAACTATAGGCTAGAAAATACTTCAAACTATCTTGTTGTTTGGAAGGGTAGTCAAATTCTTCTTCTCCTTTAAGGAGCCTAACAAGCATCATAATATTGGTCCTCGATCCCAATCAAGTAGTCCGACCATCGAGCCGCAGGCATTCCTATCGTACTTTCAGCGTCCTTTCGAATTCAATGTCGCTCCATTTTCAGCGGCTATCACTCCAGTGTAAGATATCTCCAACCCACGTTAGTCTTCTTGAAATATGCAGCGGTATTTCCGACCACTGATGGGAAACCGAGACCAAAATTCCAAATTTCACTCTTGTTTGTGCAAAACTTGATTCATCTCTTAATATCTTCATAATTTTCCTAATGTCCCCTAAACTGGTCCGGCTAGATTCCTGTAGAGAGTGGCAAAGCAGGAAGAACGATTGAGTTGAAAACGAGGATGCAGTTTTCAGCGCCCTTATAAGCTTTCCTAGCATCTCGCTTTCACCTTCTTTATTCTGATTAACTGCCGTTTCGTGCTCATATAAACTGATGCTGAATAATTTGGCAAGATCGAATATCTTCGTCGAATTCTTTAACCACTTTCGTCTAAAATCAGTAGAAGACTTTCTTTAAGTCGATGGAGATAAGCCATATCCTCGCTCGAGGATGTTTAGATGAGTTTTCATATCAAATGGGTATAATCCGTCGTGTTCAATACTATTTCAAAATCTCATTTTTTTACGTAGTTATCCTTCACCCATCGTTGTATAAATTCTGCTAAAGATGACTAAAATGGAAAAACTGTAGACGACAAGCAAGGCAAAGGCTGAGTAGTATAAGCCAATGTCGCTGATGTTGCCTTTTTTATACAGCTTCATGTTTCTGTTTGTTTTCCAGTGTCCTGATATGGCATATCTACTGAAAAAGTAAGTCTATTGTTGATGTCTTCAAGCGGTAACAATAGTGAGGACTTCAAAATAAAATGAAGTTTGGAAGTGTAATTAATTTCAATTGCTGCCTATTCTATTTCATGGCAAGTTATGATCTGAAATATAACAACAATGATGGTGAGACATTTGCAAAACTGCGGACTGCGTTAGACTACGGAAACGTAATAGCATGTTCGATCCCACCGCGGACACCGAAGAATCATCGTAGTTACATTCCACATCATAAACTGCCATAAAAAAGAATAGGCAGTAATTAAAAATGGTTACATTGCGATTTATGCCACACCTTAAGTTTAACTGGGTTCAATGGCGATTTGTGCCCCGTAGATTAATACCGTTGACGAGTGATTGCCGATGTTTTGTACAAGTTTTTTGATGTATAAGTGTATATCACATGTTGTTTAGTTGGATCTCACACTTATGCCTGAACGAACTCGTCATCGCTTCGGGGTCTGCAGTCTGATAATAGAATTATTTGAGAGTGTTAAAAAAAAGAAATTAAAAAGGGAACATGGCTGAAAGAATGCGAAACGAAGAACCCGCATTGTGTGGTGGTGAATGCACGAGACTCCGAAAAGGGTTGTAGCGTGTTATTAAATAGCTCTAAAGATCTCTCCGACATTACCTATATCACATGCAGTCTCGATGATAGTTGAGTGACTCGAACGGGCGCCAGTAAATCTTCCATTTTTCCCTGCCGCGTGCAAGAGTAGCCCAGTGGGTTCCGCTCGCTCTAGGGACTTACCGAGCATCATATCTTTCTTCTAAGCTCTTTGTCAAGAACTCTGGCCATCGGGTCGGTGGTCTTCCTGCAGTACGTTTGAAATCGACACAGCGACCAGGTTTCTGACGCATACATTAGGGCAAGGAAGTAGCGTTGAGTCGAAAAGGTGGGCGTAGAGTCGGGTGTTCTTTGTTCTCTTCACTAAATCCTCGATGCTCTTGAAAGCTCCCCAGTCCGCCGGTTTTCTTCTGCTAAGCTCTGGAGCTAGGTCGTTCATCATATTGATTACCCGACCTAGATAGATATAACTGGAGCATTCGCAGATATTCGTTCCATTGAGCGTGAATGGGGCATGCGAAAGCAATCCGTTCTTCAGGAACATCGTTTTTGTGAGATTTAGTCGAAGACCAATTTTCCACAGGATTTATCAAAGTCGTCAAGCATACGTTCCGCTTGTCTAGTGTTTGGTGTTGTTGTAAGGACGATGTCATCAGCAAAGCGAATATGGTGTAACTGCAAACCGTCGATTTTCACTCCCATATTATCCCATTCCAATGGTCGCATGACGCTCTTGAGGGTGGCGGTACATAATTTTGGCGAGGTGGTATCGCCTTGCCTAACTCCTCTTTTTACGTCAATGTTAATATCATTGCAGAATGTTGATATCTTGGCTGTGAATTTTTGTACAGCTCACGAAGAATATTTGTGTACTGAATAGGGACTCCTTGACTATCAAGAGCTTCCAAGACTGATTCTATCTCAAATGAATCAAAGGCCTTCTGTAAATCGATGAAAGTGAGACAGAGCGGTCTTTTGTACTCTCGCGGTACTTCAATGAATCTTGTTATCGTGTGGATTTGGTCCATCGTATTAAATCCTCTTCGAAACCCTGCTGGCTCACATGACTGTCCTTCGTCCAGTGTTTTGTCAATCCTGCTTAGTGTCAATACTCGAGTGAAAAGTTTGTAGACTACAGACAGTAAGCAAATTGGGCAATAGTTGCCAATATCGTGCAGGTCACCTTTCTTGAACAATAACACGGTCCTGCTGGTCTTCCACTGAGTAGGGACCTTGTATTCAGACAGGTAACGATTGAATTGAACAGCCGAGCCAGTGTGTTTACGAAGACTGGCGGAAGGTTCTTCAGGTGTTCTGCTCTTGTCCTGTCGGACCTGGTGCTGT